TAAAAAAAAAAAAAAAAAAAAAAAAAAAAGAAGGTGAGGCATTAAGCGTGCTAGGCAAGAACTCTACCATTGAGCCACCTACCCAGTTTTTTTTAAAAATTGTGCAACAGATCTTAATAAATTACGTAGGCTAACTTTGAACTTGTGCTGCTTCTGTCTCACCCTCTGGAGTGGTGGGGGTTACACGCATGTGCCACTGTGCCTATCTGGATTTCTGTTTTAATATCTGTATATAATAGGGCTCCAGCTAGCAGTATAGGATGCTGGGGATCCTAGAGCATATTTCAGGGACTAGACAAGGCTACAAGGGGATGGATATGACAGGTGACAGATTCGGGCACCCCGAAGGATCGTCAAGCTGTACCTGCTTGGGCCCAGCCCTCTGCTTGTCTGGGATACAGCTCAGGATGTTGGGATGGACCGACCATGTGGCTGCACTGGGGTTAGAAGCCCAGGTTGTATGTCTGAGCCTGATCCCAACCTCCTCTCCCTACCCTCTCACCTGCCCCCAGCAGCCTCAGGGTCTTCAGCATTTGGCTTTTCTTCTAGGCTTCTGGGCAGTCCTGGAAGCAGAATGAGAGAGCAAGAGCCTCCAGTGAGTAAAGGTTGGACAGAGGAGGTGCCTTCTTCTGAGAGCAAAGGAAGGGGTTGTTCCCTGCTATCCTTCCAGGCTTCCCCTATGCAGCCTCCTGCCCAGAACTATGCAGCATCAAGTTTCAACTCCAAGTTCTCACCCCCTGACACCAGGCCCCAGAAGTCCTCATACATGCATACCCTCCTGTGCCTTTGCCTCCTAAGTGGCAAACTTCCTGTGTTTGTCCCACCAGCGAGAAATTGCAGTACCCCCACTGCCAGTACCCAGTGGCAGGGCCTCCTCTTCTCCTGTGTTCACTCCCTTGCCCCAGCCCTTATTCCTGACTGTGGCCTGACTTACGGGTTATAAAAACCTCTCACTTGGCCTGGTCTCTGGGGCATGGGCCAAGCCTGACCCTTGTTCTCCTACCTCCTGCAAGGCTGGCTCAGTTCCCTGCATGATGCCTTGATTGGCAAGCTGAGAACTCCTTTAACTGAGAGAAGAGATACCTGGCAGAAGTGTGGTGCAGTGGTTTAAGGACTGTGTTGGAGTGTGTGTTAGGGACCAGTCCTGCCCTAATGGTTTTGCTTTGAAGAAAAGGAGATAACAGTGTTTCTAAAGAGCTGAGCACAGGACTTGTCATGCCCTTGCTATATGCCAGGCCCTGTTCTAGACAGGAACACTGAGCAGGAAACACTATCACTAGTGATTAAACTTCGCTTGTAAGTGTGGTGACACAGGAGTTCGGAGAGTGGTTAGCAGGAGAGGCTTTCTTGAGGAAGTGGAGTTTGAGGTAGGACCTATACAACAAGTGGCAGTCAGTGGAAGTGAGAAGGGGTTCTCTATTTAAAACTTTTCAAAACATTTTATTGATACAATTTAGATATACACAATGATCATGTTTATCATAGGTAATTTGTACCTGTACGTGACATATCTTGATTCCTCTTTCTTCCTCAATCCCCTTCCCTTCCTTCAACCTCTCTTCCACTCATTTTTAAAAGCTTTGTTTCCATTTCTTGTTTTTTTCTCACCCCCGCTAGCTCCTTTTCCTTTTGAATGATTTCTTCCTATTTCACAGCATTTTGATCTTTATTTACCTTTTTAGTTTCTCACACCAGAGAGACAATGCAATATTTGACTATGTGTGTCCGATTTATTTCACTTAAGAGTTAGCCTCCGGCTGGGGATTTAGCTCAGTGGTTCCACTGCCTGCCATGCAAGCACAAGGATGTGAGTTTGATCCCTGGTACAAAAAAAAAAAAAAATGCATAGCCTCAAGGTGCATCCATTTATCCACTTAGGTATACAATGTCTCAAGCTTATCCTTCTTTATGACAGAATAGTACTCCACTGTATAAAAGAACTACATCTTTTATATTCATTCATCGGTCAGTGAGCATTTGGGTTGTTTCCAAGATGTAGCTATTATAAACTGTGTTGCTATAAACATGCGTGCTCATATATTGCTATGGTATAATGCTTTCAGCTCCTTTGGGAAGAAACCCATAAGGGAAATATCTGCGTTAAATGGGACCTCTAATCCTAGTTTTTTTTTTTTTTTTTAGGCATTTCCACAGTGGTTGCACCAGTCTACACTCCCATCACCAACAGAAAAGGATCCATCCCCCCTGAATTTGTTGTTGATATTTTTTGCTAGTACCATGCTGTTTTTAATCATAGTAGCCTCGTAGTATTAATTTCAAATCAGGGATCTGAGCTGCCTTGTTGCCCACTGTTTTTGCTATTCTAGGTCTTTTCTGGTTCCAAGTGAATTTTAGGATTGTTTTCTCCAGTTCTATGAATGGTATTTTGATTAGGATGGCATTAAATCTGTATAACAAATTTGGGATGGCCATTTTCACTATGTTGGTTCTTCCTTCCCAAAAGCCAGGGATATCTTTCCATGTTTTTATATCCCCCAGCCCTGCCATTGATTTTTGAGTGTTGACTTTGTATCCAGCTACGCCACTGAATTCGGGTTATTACACTTGATCTTAGCCAACAGGACAAGTGATGAATTCAGGTTATTAAATCTAGAAGTCTTTTGGTGGAGTTTCTATGTAGAAAATCTTCAATGTAGAAAATCATGTTATCTGCAAATAATTTAACTTCTTCCTTTCCAATCTTTATTCTTTTCCTCTTATCTAACTGCTCTCATTAAGGTTTTTAGAACTATGTTGAATAGGAGTGGTGATAGTGGACATCTTTGTCTTGTTCCTGATTTTAGAGTGAAAGTTTTCAGTTTTTGTTCAGTCAACCATATGTTGGCTATTGGTTTGTCAGATGGCTTTTATCAGATTGAGATAAAGGCCATCTATTCCAACTTTCTGTGGGTTTAAAAAAATCATGAATGGATGTTGGACTTTGTCAAATGTTTTTCTGCATCTATTGAGATGATTATGTGATTTTCATCTTTGGCTTTGTTGATATGGTATATCACATTTATTGATTTGCATATCCAGAACCATTTCTGCATACCTGGGATCAATCCTACTAGGTCAGTTTATAATCTTGATGATTTGCTGCATTGTTCACTAGTATCTTAGTGCGGATTTTTGTGTGTGCTTACTTAATAACTATTGATGAAACTATTCAGATTACTAGCTGGGAGTGGGTGGACCCAGATAGCCAAGTCCCCCTGTACAGTCTGATTTCTTTGGACTTCTCTATTTTTTGTTTTTATTGGAACTTTTTAGATATACAGAATAACATTCATTACAGAATTTGTACCTGTACATGATATATCTTGCTTTTTTCCTATTCCTCTCCCTTCAGCATTCCTTTTATAAAAGCTTTATTTCCACTTTTTTCTTGTCCCTTCTCCCCGCACCCCTTGTTGCTCTTCTCATTTGAACAATTTCTTCCCATTATGCAATATATATTATACTTTTTGGTCCTTGCTTACTCTTTCTCACACCGGAGAAACAATGTGGTATTTAAACATGTGTCTGATTTCTTTCACTTAAGAGCATGGTCTCAAGATGCATCCACTTAGCTAGAAATGTCTCAAGCTTATCCTTCTTTATGGCAGAGTAGCACTCCACTGTGAGAAAAAAAAAATCATCTCTAGCCATTCATAGGTTGATAGGTATTTGGGCTGTTTCTGAAATCTAGCAACTAGAAACCGTGCTTCTATAAACACTGATGTGCACATGTCCTTGCAGTATGATGCTTTTAATTATTTCAGGAAGATATCAAGAATGGGATAGCTGTATAAATGGAACCCCGTTTTAGTTTTTTGAGGAATCTCCTGATTTCCATAATGGCTGCACCAGTGTGCACTCCCACCAACAGTGAAGGGTTCCTTTTTCCCCAGTCTCCCCTCCCCAAACTTGAAGTTCATTCTTTTTTGGTACTGGGGATCAAACTCAGGACCTTGTGTTTGCGAGGCAGGCAGTGGAACCACTGAGCTAAATCTTTGGCCCTCATTTCTTGATAGTAGCCATTCTTTCTGGAGATAGAATCTCATGGTTGCTTTAATTTGCATCTCTTGAATGACGAGGGATGTTGACCATTTTTTCATAATTTGCCATTTCTTCATTTCACAAGTGTCTTAATTTCGGAGGCCCACTTTTGGATTGAATCTTTAAATTTAAGGGGTGATTTATTTGAATTCTTTATATTTCTAGATATTAGTCTTTTGCCTGATGAACAGCTGGTAAATTTTTTTCCCCACTGTGTGGTCTATTCCCTGTGTTTCTCTGACTGCGCAAAACACTTTCTAATAAGGTGTTGGTTCTCTGTGATATTTCCCATGCAGTCTGGGTTTGTTCGTGAAATCTTTGCCTACTTCTATGTCCTCAAGTGTTCTACCTCTTCTCCAGCTTTTTTTTTTTTGGTACCACGGATCAAACTCAGGACCTTGCCCTTGCAAGACAGGTGCGGTGCCACTGAGTTAAATCCCTGGTCCAGCATTTAAATAGTTTATCTATTTTGATTTTAGGTTAGTGTATGGTTAAAGGTATGGGTCTAGTTTCAATCTTTTGCATGTGGAAAACCAGTTTCTCTAGCACCATTACAGAGGGCTAGGGATTTAGCTCAGTAGTCTGTTGCAAGGTCACAAGTTTGATCCCCAGTACCAAAATAAAAACAAACCCCAACATAAAAAGAGGCTTTTTTTCCAGTGAAGGGGTTTGGCTCCTGTCAAAGACAAAATGGCTGAATATGTCTGGAGTTGTTTTTGCGTTTTCTAATCTGTTCCATTGATCCTCAGGTATATATATATATTTTTGTACCCGGGATTGAACTTGGGTCCTTGTGCTTGCAAAGCAGGTGCTAGAACCACTGAGCAAAATCCCCAGCCCCTCAGGTATCTTTTGCCATTACCAACCTATTTTTATTTTATTTTTTGGTACTGGGGATCGAACTTGGATCCTTGTGCTTGTGATGCAGGTGCCAGAACCACTGAGCTAAATCCCTGGCCCAGTACCAAGCTATTTTTACTATAGTAACTTTGTAGTATAACTTCAGGTCAGGGATTGTGACACCTCCTATCTTGCCTTTGTTGCCCAGAAGGCAATTTAAATCCTTAAAATCACAATTAAACTAGCCGGGGCGGGGGGGAGATTTAGCTGAGTGGTTCGGTGGCCTGCCTTGCAAGTGCAAGGACCCGAGTTCCATCCCTGGAACCAAAAAAAACAAACAAAAAAACAAACAAAAACTAGCCAGATGTGGTAGTGCATTGCCTACGGTCCTAGCTACTCAGGGGGATAAGGCAGGGGAATCATAAGTGTGAGGCATCAGCATGGATAACTCAGTTAGACTCCGCCTCAAAATAGAGGCATAGATGTAGCTTAGCAGTAGGGTGTTTGACTTGCAGGCACAAGCTCAATTTGATCCCCAGTGCCATGAGGGAGGATAATTTTTAAAGAACAAGGAAAGGTAGTCAACAGTGAATGTCAGAAGTGTCAATTTATTCCAAAAGCAGTTAATTTAAAATTTAAATTTGAAGAGTAGTTTGGCTGGTATAATGTTAGGAACAAAAAGACACAAGTTTGGGTTTTTAACCTAGGTCCCATGGTGGTACACATGCTGGAAGCTAAGGAAGAACTGCTGCCAAGTACAAGGTTGGCCTGAACTAAATAACAGGGCCCAGCTTCAAAAAGCTGTAACAAAAGAAATTAAAATAAATGACTCAAGGACTGGGATGTAGCTCAGTGGCATCGTGCCTGCCTGGCAAGTACAAGGTCCTGAGTTTGGTACTGGAAAAGGAAAAAAACAGATCTAAGAAAATTTTCTTCCCCTTTAGCACAACACTGAACAAAAGGCTACAAATGGGTCATCCTCTAGGAGCATCTGGCTGTCAGATTCTTGTGACACTGTTACACACACTGGAGAGAATGGGTGGAATGCGGGGTGTTGCAGCCCTGTGCATTGGGGGTGGGATGGGAACAGCAATGTGTGTTCAGAGGATGAACTGCTTAACAGTAGAATCACTTAATCTAAACTTCAATCTCATTTCTCTTTAAACTAATGAAGTAGTAAGTTGTAATATATGGAGAAATAAGGAACAAAGCAAAAAGCAAAACTCTCTGATTTCTCAGGAATACAAGCTATCAGGCTGCTGTACTTTAATGTGTAACACTCAAGATACAAGAAACTGCATCTAAAATTATAAATTACATCACATTAGTCATCAAGGGCTCCAGAATGAACAGCATCTTCATAACCTCCATGTTTATCATCTTTACTTTCTGGGTGTAATTTAATCAGATCATCAATTCGAAGAATAGTAATCACTGCTTCTGTTGCAAATTTCAAGCTCTTTACTTTAACTATGGTTGGTTCAAACACTCCTGCTTGCTTGTTATCTCTTGGTTTACCATTGATCAAATCAAGACCAATCCTGCAATTAAGGGGAAAAACTGGGTAACATGTTTATCATCTTTACTTTCTGGGTGTAATTTAATCAGATCATCAATTCGAAGAATAGTAATCACTGCTTCTGTTGCAAATTTCAAGCTCTTTACTTTAACTATGGTTGGTTCAAACACTCCTGCTTGCTTGTTATCTCTTGGTTTACCATTGATCAAATCAAGACCAATCCTGCAATTAAGGGGAAAAACTGGGTAAATGATCTCTTACAAGTTAATTAAGCAGCCCACTAATTCTCCTATTCCTGAAAAATGTTGAAGATTGTAGTAGTTAACTAAATGTATTATATATGTACCAATTCTTGTAATCATTATGTACTACAAAAATGTACTAATAAAATCAGTTATGATTGACAAGTGTAGGGCTGAGCATCGTTGAAAGGCTAGCAAAGAAACACTGATTCCACACCCATCATGGTGACACACACCCATAATCCTAGTGCTGGGGGGGGGCATGTGCACGCGTGCTAAATCAGTACATTAAAACCAACCTGGGCTACATAGCAAGTTCAAGGTTGGCCTGAACTACATTGCTAGACCCTGTCTCCAAAAACAAAACACAACAAAACAAAACAAAGCAAAACCCAAACAAACCAAAAACAAAATAAAAAACACCTGATTTCAAGGATCACTTAATATACAGTCACGTGCTATATGACAACATTTTGGCCAAGGAAGCACATTTAGGACATTAGGCAAAAGATTTTGCCTAGAGACATCATAGCCATCTTTGTTTATTTAAATACATGGTATGATGCTCTCACAATGATCAAATCACCTAACGAGATATTCCTGTTGAAGCCATGCATGACTCTAAGGGGGTGCCTGAAAATAGATATGGATCACCCTTAAATCTCTTAGACTTTCCTGCAAGTAAATGACTCTAACCAGGGAAGCAGGGTAGAAATCAGTTAAACAGTCATCATCCTTAACATCAATAACAACTCATTATAATGTTTAATTCTTTTGACAGGTCTGTGATTGACATTTGCTGACCTTCTAGTTGACCACTATAATTTTAAATACCATTTTCCATAGGTACAGAAAGGGATTTTTCGTTGTGTTTTTTTTAAGACCGGGTCTCACTATGTAGTTGAGACTGCTCTGGAACTCACTATGTTGCCCAGGCTGGTCTCGAACTCACAGTGATCCTCCTGCCTCAGCTTCTCGAAGGCTGGGATTACAGGTGTGCACCACCACACCCAGCTTCAGAAAGGGATTTTTTTTAAAAAAAGTATGTTTCATCGTGACATGATAAGCAGATGACAATGAAAAAAAGACAAGAATACTGTATGCTTACCATTTTAGATTTTTACGTTCTGGGTTAACTTGAGCCTCATTATGAAAAGCCCTTAACTTTGCAACCAGATCTGTGGAGTCTTGAGCAGCGTTCACTGCCAGTGTGTTAGGAATGACAAGAAGAGATCTTGCAAACTCTGCAATAGCAAGCTGCTCCCGAGATCCCTAAGAAGAAAGAAAGTCTGGTGACTCTTCACAAAAGGAAAGGAAAGTAATGAAAACCCACAGCAGCAGCTAAGGTCTCAGGCAAATAAAGCTTAGGTCTCAGACTGATAAAGTGCAAGAGTAGCTCCCAGGCCCTTGAAAATAAAGAATTCTTACCATGCTGGTGGCGTAGTTTTCAAGATATATGGAAAGGGCTGCTTCTACGGCACCCCCACCGGGAACCACAGATTTAGACTCCAAAACTCTCTTCACCACGCAAAGTGCATCATGTAAAGAGCGCTCCATCTCATCACACATGAAATCATTGGCCCCACGTAAGATAATTGATGCAGATGTTCGGGCCTTTGTACTACGAAAAGTAAAAAAAGGGAGACTGTTATACATAGACATTCACTGCAAGGGCCCTTTGTTACATTCTGCTTACAGAGGACACTGACATACTCTACCCAACGGTGTCCAGGCCACGCAGAAGAGAAGACACAGTTACTTCATCTCAGCTAGCAATGGCCCAATAATACTGTATCCCATGCGTATAACTGCTCATATCACCGAGAGACGATAGCAGCAAATAAATGGGAAGGAAGTTTATTTGTCCTTGAAAACAAAGTCTGCAGTGCTTTAGGATTCACCAAGTGGCCCTTACTTTTTGATTAAGATCAGCTCATCATCACAGATTCTCTCCTGTACCACCTCTTCTGCTTGTCCCAACATTGTAGCTTCAAAAGTTTCTTCACCTTCCAAATTGGCCAAGGTAGATAGGACAGTTGCTATTAAGAGAGTCACATCATCAGTAAATAGTCTCATAATGATTTTTTTGTTGTTTATTTTGCTTTTCGAGATAGGGTCTGGCTATGTAGGCCAGGCTGTCCTTGAACTCATTATATAGGCCAGGTTTTATTCAAACTTTCAGCAATCCTTCTGCCTCAGCCTCCCAAGTGCTAGGATAACTCTGTCCACTTCTCATAACAATGTTCCTTTTGGTACTGGGGATCGAATTTGGGACCTTTCACTCGCAAGGTAGGTGGTGGAACCACTGAGCTAAATTCCCAGCCCTTCTCATAATGATTTTAACATGTCTTATACTGAGAAACATGTTTTTAAAAACCTTTTGTTTTGCTTTTTGAGACAGGGTTCATTATGCAGGTTCAGACTGACCTGGAACTTGAGGTGACCATCCTGCTTCAGCCTCTGAAATGCCAGGAGCACATGCATGGGCCACCACGCCCAGTGAGAAACATTTATTTATAGCAAAAGTAATATACTACATACCTAAGGTTTATTGCTCACAGAAGCAATTGCCAGTTTCTCCTAGGACCATCATGCATTACTATTATACTGGGAATCAAACTCAGGGCCTCACGCTTCCAGGCAGGTGCTGTGCTGCTTAGCTACATTTTTGGCCCAGACCATTGTACATATTAACAGAAAGCATTTTACCCAAGAAGACATACCTCCAGAAGCTTTAGCAATGCGCTTAAGGTCCCTTTTTAAGACTCTTCTAACTGCCATTGCACCCGACTCCACGAAATACTTCAGACACATGTCATCAATTCCACCAGTGGTTAGAATAACATTGGCACCAGTTGCCAGGATCTTCTGAATTCTCTCCTTTGTGATATCTGATTCTCTACAGAAAAAGCATTTTAATAACCTAGATTACCTTCTGTTTTCTAATCATGCAGGTATAACTTCCTTTAGGCATTTTTTACAACTGCAGGTTAAATTCTATCAACTATTCTCCCCCAACTTGCAAACCTAATTTAAAGTAGTCCAATTTATGAAAAAATTCAAGCAATGAAAAAAACCACCACTTTGCTCTCCCAACTGCAATTTGAAGTCTTAATAAGTGTTACGAGAAAATACTAAAAAGCCCGCTGTTCAAAATCTAGTGGAGAAAATTACCAGTCACACCTCCAGGGCCAGCATCACTTAAGGTGATAATGCGGAGATACCACCCAAGCAGCAGGAGAGGCGTAAATCCAGCCCACTAGGTAGGAGGAGAATTTAAGAAGGGGTTCAAACTTGAAATTGCAGGAGAACAGAAGACAAAAAACTTGTAAGCCACATTAAAGTGTCTCATTAGCTAAAAAACAGTAACTGTTTTAAGCAAAACTAGTATTATTGAATATATTTATTCAAAATCATCCCCTGATGTTGATGTGTAAACCACATTAAAAAGATGAAACATGAAAGACAGAGACATTAATTAGAGATAAGGACATCTGTCAAAGTTTATGGTTTAGGTAACTGGGGGGACAGTGACTCATAGAGTAAAACAGTTTGTGGGCAAGTTGGGAAATCAGGAGTACTGGGACAGCATAGGTTTGAAGTCTGTATTGAGGTGAAGATGGTAAAAGGCAGTAAGTCTCATCAGGAAAATGAGAAGCTAAATATGGTAAAGACAGATTCAAAAACATCATATTTAAGCCATGTGAGTAGAGATCATTCAATTGTTTAGGTACAGTCATGTGCCTCACTCACATGACATTTTGGTTAAGCGTGGACCAAATATAAGAAGATAATGGACCCAAAAAGTTCCTTTCTCCTGACAATGTGACAATTCTAACATCACAGTGATACACATTACTCATATGTTTGTAATGATTACGGTACAGGTAAAACCCTGTGCTTCTAGTGTATACAAGTACAGCATAGTTACTTGCAGTACATTATTGAGTACGATAATAAACAAATGTATTACTATTTTCTGTATTTACTATAGCAGCTATCCTAGTTTAAATTGGGCCTTAACCCAACCCACTGGTTGTAAACTCCTTCACTTAGGTGATCCCCCCGCCCCAGACTTCTGCACAGCTGGGATTATAATCATGTTCCACAACATCCAGGTATTTTAAAGCTTACTTCTACTTCTCCCTGGCTACTGAACTAGTATTTATGCCAGACATTGGTGGACTGGCTACAAACTAAGAGGAATCATTTTGTCTCTATTTTCAGAGTTTACAGTACAGTTGTATAGACACAAAACAGTAAGTAAATAAAGCATAGTTTAGACCAGTGGTGGCGAATTTATTGTGTGTGTACCACAGTGGGCTGTTTTGTATCACTGAAAGAGCTAAAAGGTTCACCATCACTGGTTTATACTGAGGCAGAAATTTGCTCCCCTGACAGAGTGACTAGTTTGGAGGCAGAAATCACATGGTCTTGGAGAGACCAGAAGAAAAAGGTACAGTAAGTCCTCGACTTAATGAGTTCCAGTCCAAGAGAATGTTCCTAAGTTGGATTCATTTGTATCTGAGAAAATGACTCTTATATAGCACATCTATGAAAGTTTGCAACTTGAATGTTCATAGGTGGGGGAATTCTATTAGAAAAGAATTAAACTTTTTTCTTAGTTTGCTGCCTGTGTGGAGGAGTTCCCATTACCAAAAAGCCATGAGTGGGGTATCATCATGAGTTAGTTTTAGAATTCTGATTTTGAGATGCCCAAAAATCGTTCAAGGGCCGGGGACTTAGCTCAGTGGCACTATTCCTGCCTTGTAAGCACAAGGTCCTGAGTTTAATCCCCTGTGGGGGTGGGGTTGTTCAATTACTAGTAAATATGTGTTTAGAGTTCTAGGGAACAGATTTGGGAGGCTGCAGGATAAATATGTGAATTCACGGGGACAAAGGAGCTACTCCGGGGAGAGTACAGTGAGACTGTGGCACGAAGAAAATTGTCAAGTGAGTTTGACAGAGCCTCTCTTCCTCTAGAAGTATTTCAAGAGAGAAGCAGCCGAAGACTTGCTGAAAGTCTTACATGCCTACATACTCTCAAATTTGCTTGACGAGCAGCCCTCCACTGAAGAAAACAGCTGACGAGCAGATGACAAGCACAAAACAAACAGTTTTGCATAAGTCACTCTTATGTGACACCTATACAAATGTGGAAAGACAGGGAGCAATTGGAGCAGGAGAATGGGGCTTTCATTTAAGGACAGAAAAAGTGGAATTGAGACAAGGAAGAACAGCTGAAGGTATAGTTGAAAAAAGTCAATGAATCAAGGCTCTAAGACAAAAGACAACAGATTGTGGAACACCTACTGTAGGACTGGCTTTTGGAGACAGGGTCTCGCTTTGTAGTTCAGGCTGGCCTTGAACTCACTAAGAAACCCAGGCTAACCTCAAACTCATGGCACTCCTCTGGCTTTTAGAGAGCCAAGGATTGGCCTCTGAAGGAGGGAAGGAGGATGTGCAGATGGCTAAAAAGACCACTCCTAAATATTGGCAAAAAGTCCTTGTTGTTTAGCTGCATGTTCAAACTAACCAAAAAAGTGTCAAAAACAAAAACAAATTACCTTGAAGAAGAGAATACAATAGTGGTTATCAGAGTTTAGGAAGGGTTTGTGCATGTGTGATGGGGTAAAAAAGAGGGGGGAAGGATAAAAGGTAGAGAGAGGTGAAGTTAGGAAAAATATACAGTTGTTCCACAGCACAGTATATTGACTGTGGTTGACAACAATTGATTGCATATTTCAAAATACAAAGTAGAGAGATTTTAAATACAATCATCTTGGTCTGATCAGCACACACGGTATACATATATTGAAATGCCACACTGTACCCCATAAACATAAATGTCATATAAAAATAAAAATACTGTACTAATGTTTTTTTGGAGACAGAGTCTTGCTACATGTAGTTTAGACTGGCCTTGAACTTTTAGTGCTCCTGCCTCAGCCTCCCAAGTGCTGGGATTACAGGTGTATGCCACCACGCCCAGCCTAAAAATAAAAATATTGGAATGATGTGGGCTAAATGGAAGCAGGCAGCCAAAATCCCTTGAGCAGTCAATTATGTTTAAGAACAGCTCTCCATTATGCCAATAAATGAATACCAGCATCTGGAACACCTAGATGTTAGCATGGTCAATTTTAAACTGATGAGTTCTATACTGCTTCTCTGAGAAAATAAGTTCTTGGCTTTTTCATCCTGAATTTCAACTCGGGAAACCAAAATTCTACAAAAACATATATTTTCCTATGTTGTATCATTATAAATTCCCTTCAAAATATTACCACATATTCTAAATTTTTTGGAGCTTATGTAAAATAGCTTGATTTGGGTAAGAAGTTAAAATCTTCCAAACACACTTAAAAGTTCACTTCTGTTTTGCTTGATGGTTGGTCATGCCAGCAAGCCCACCAATGTGGAAAGCGGAGGCAGGAGGATCACTGGTTTGATCTTTTAAGTCCAGACTGGATGACATAGCAAGACACTGTCTCAAAAAACAAAACAAAACAAAAAACCCAAGCAAGCAATCAAACAAACCCCATGAAACAATCATTTATTTATTTATTTTTAGGTACCAGGGATTGAACTTGGGACCTTGTGCTGCTTAGGCAGGCGGTGGCACCACTGAGATAAATCCCTGGCCCACAATCCTCATTTTTATAAACCACCATCAGTGATTCTAATAACTTGTCTATTACCTATGAAACATACCACTCATTGTTTTAGTTTACTGTCACCTGATCCAACACAAGGATATTTCTCCAACACCTATTATAGTTATAGCTAAAAATCTCAACTTACCTCTGTCTAATTTGGTCCAGTTTCTCAGGATCTGTAATAAGCACCTGCACACCAAGCTTCATTTTTGTCTTCTGCAGGCTGAAGTCAAGGCAAGCAATTTTTGCATTAACGATTCTCTTGGGCATGCCTGTAAGTGAATAAAACACTAAGTTCTTCTATGTAACTTTAACAGTGCTACAGTACATCCCATATACCTATCCTTAAAATCATGACTTAATAAATATACTAAACTAGAAACAACCACACAAATTCAGATTTAACTTAGTACATTAAATGCCTGAAGAGATTAATGGCATTAAGTGTACACAATTGGTTTCAATGCACTCACCCTAACACTTTATAGGTGTCTGAGTTACAAAAAGAAATATTGCATGCAAACTACAAAAAGAGCTAGTTTTTTTGTTAGTTTGTTTGCTTGAGACAGTCTCACTATGTAGTTGAGACTGACCTGGAACTCACTATGTAGCCCAGGCTGGTCTCGAACTCACAGCAATCCTCCCGCCTGAGCCTCCCGGCGTGCTGGGATTACAGGTGTGTGCCACCACGCCTTGCTCAAAAAGAGCTAGTTTTGAACTGTAGTGATTTCATTCTATGACTGAATCCCAAACTTAAACTTACCCTGAGATCCCACCACACAGTTGAGTGCATAGCCATTGATCAGCATGCTTTCTGTCTGGCTTCGCCCGTGGGCTTTCAGAACATTCACAGAATTGACCGGGTAGCGAGGCTGGCCTCTTGAATCAGTGTATTTAACAGCAAGCACAGCATCTACTACCATGTTAGAAAAGAAATCACCGTTTCTGTACCAACAGTTAAGGATAATAACAGACTGTGAACAGAGGGTACACAGGAAGACCAAGGGCAATTCAAAAGGACTCTTTCAGCAATCTCATTCATGAAAGAAAAAAAGCATTACTTGTGCTATAAAACTCACTGCAGTATTATTCGTCACGATCCACACAGGCTATTTCACGTTACTGTTTCACCCTAGAAATGCAGGGACGGCCATTCAGTGTGGCACCACTTGTCTCTAACATAATTTTCAATCTGCAATAAACTGGTGTTTTAAAAGCAACTCAAATCAGATTCAATACCCCTTACCCTCCCCATCCAAAAGATCTTAAACTTCACTGAACATTTAAGGATACATTCCAATAATTTTGGAAGACATGGATGTTTTAGCAGCATTAATCAGGCAATCTCTTCCAAGTTCATCTGTGTTAATAATTAGGTTTTCATTGATATAGCGCACTGCTTCCCTGTTGAATGTGTGAGACAGAAAAATACTTATGAATCTACTACTCAAACCTTTTGACTGTCTCACATTGCACACGCTGTCAAAATGCTATAGGAAATGGTGTTCTGTTCAGCCATTTCATATAGGAGGAGGACACTGAAGAGCCCTCCCTCTTCAGATCATGGCAACTTTCATCTATCCCACAAGCATAGCCACTAAAATCTATTGTTGGAGAAAACGTGGTAGTCAAATGGGAAAGATACTGGCCCAAGTTCTTACCTCAAATGTTACTACGTGAATGCTAAAACACAATTTCCAATTAAAATGTGCTCATCAGTCAAAACACTAAGAGCCAGACTATTCTTATATATTACAGCTGAGAAAATTTTGTTCACATGCAAGCAGTCTTACTTGCAGGCAAGTCGATAGCCACTAATAACTGATGTGGGATGAATTTTCTGTTTGACTAGTTCGTCTGCATTTTTCAGAAGTTCTGCTGCAATGATAACCTGTTGAGAAAAGTCACAGACTTAGTATGTGCATTGCATGCATAAAAACACACCACCAACACGAGCGGGCATTATTAACCAGAATGGTGATGAGGAAAAGAGTAACGGTATTTAAAATAGCACAAAAGAAGAAGAGTCTATATGTGTGTGGATAAAACCAGATGAAGCCAGAAAAATGCTGTGATTAGCTCTACAGTAGATGCAAACACATGCATTATCAATAGAGATTAAGTGCTCAAGAGAAGCTAAATTCTTGACTAGTGGAGTGAATTGCACTATTATATGTTTTGTAGTTCAATTTCCAAATGCTTCTTGTAAGGATTACTAAGAAACATTTTTTTATAACTTAAAATTCTGTCAGCTTCTTTTAGGGGAAAGAGTGATGAAATACTTCCTCACACTTCTATTCTGAGTTCCTGAGATTACCTCTCTGCATTTAAAATATAAAAATATCTCGCTGCTTTAAAAAGCTGGTAAAATTTTCTCCTTTAGATAATTATAAAAGCAAAAGTTTTAGAAATTTCTTAGTTTTAGATGGTGGTAAAGGAAGCAACAAAACTTTAGAAAGTATATAAAACCTTTCTCTAAAGAATGAATATTGTCATACTTAGGGGCTAAGCAGCCCTCCAAACTGGTGAAATCCAACATTTGAAATGAGGCTACATTTCCTTATTGTAAATTCCTTTTCTACTCAAATTGTAAAAACTAGCTATAAGCATTGGTTTTCAAATTTTGCTTCTGAGTAATTATCTGCCAAATAATATTTCCTTCTTAAATACTGAACTTGTTCCTTAACCTGAGTAAATGGTTTTAACTCTGATTAAATGACTATTCTTTAGCCACTGTCCCACATACCACGGAGGTAGTTCCATCTCCAACTTCTTTGTCTTGCAGATCAGCCAGCTCACAAAGGACTTTAGCTGCAGGATGTTCTACTTCCAGTAACTTCAGGATGGTGGCACCATCATTAGTAATGGTTACATCCTAGGAAATATGCAGGAAAATGTAGTAACATCAATCACCAATAGGAACAAGATGTCCCCTAAATTAATACAACCTCACTATGGTGCACATTCAACTTTTTTAGAGACAGAATCTCACTGTGCTGTGCAGGCCGGCCTTGAACTCACTATGTAGCCCAGGCTGGCTTCAAACTTGCAGCAATCCTGCAATTTGTCTCAGTCACCCAAGTGCTGGGATTATAGGAGTGTGCCACCAAACCCTGCTTGCACATTCAACTTTAATACAAATTCCACTAGGACTTAAGAATATACAGAACAAAACATTTAAGATGTTTTTTCTTTTCTTTTCTTTTTTTTTTTTTTTACCGGGGATCGAACTTGGGTCCTTGCTCTTGCAAAGCAGGCCACCGAACCGCAGAGCTAAATCCCCGGCCCTAAGATTTTTTTTCTTTAAGGCAGTAAACAATCAAAAGTATACTTACACCAATATCATCCACCAACATTTTATCCAAGCCAACTGGACCAAGAGAACTTTTTACAATATTTGCAATAGAAGCTGCAGCCATGACTGTAGATAACCAACAGGAAAATAGGATAGAAATAAAGTTACAAAACCACATTGCCTTGAAACACAATCATTTCAGCCTAAGAAAACTAAATATCCAACAGCCTCTGAATATCCTCAATCTATAAATGCCATTATTTTAAATATCACCTATTAGAAGGAGGGTAGTAAATTTCATTAGGTACATTTGGTAAACGGATTAAGTGTTTTAAAGAGTTAATTGTGACAGAATAAAAGCGTAATTAACAGTTTTAATTTAATGCTTTGCCACTTTATGTTGGAAAGAAAAAGGTTTCAGTCTTTGGATTCTGGCAAGTTTTTTTCCTTAATGGTTAATGGGAATGAAACCCATTGCCTCAATCTTGCTAGCTATATTCCCACATTTCTTAAGGAAGTGTTAATTCTGGCAAAAGAAAAAACTGTGAGGAAAATGTATTTCTGTCTTACCTAAACTTCATTGAGGAAAGTATGGAAATTTTCATGTTTTTTAAAACATGAAAATGGAGGGCAGGGATTTAGCTCAGTGGTTCCACCACCTGCCTTGCAGGTGCAAAAAAACAAACACAAACAAAACAAAACAAAAACCCCTTAAAAATGGTCTTTCACCGAACACAACTTTACTCCCCAAAAAGGCCAACGGTATTTAAGTCTTTTAAATACACAAGTGTATTAGTGTTCCTTACAAGGATTTTAAAATAGAATAAAAAGCCAGGGATTTAGTTCAGTGGTGTTGCCACATGACTCTCAAGTGCAAGGACTTGACTTCGATCCCGTTAACAAAAACAAAGCCAAAAAACCAGAACGAAAAGTCAAAGCAGCCAGGAATTTAGTAGCTTCTGTTGAACACTTACTCTCTACAGGTAGTGGATTTATTGTGTGTTATATAGTACTGTGGAGTTAAGGAGAATATCTTTCTGGCTTCTATCTGGTATTATTTATTTGCATACAGAATCATTTGCTCTCCTTTTCATTTTATTTTCCTCTCTTACTCACCATCATCATTCTAGTTACATCCTTAACTCTTAAATTTTGTGCCAGGGTTTCTTTAAATTCCCCAGGCTGATCTCGAACTTGTTATCCTTTCCCGACAGGTATGAAAAAATCCCAATTAAGCCTCTTCATTTTTGAGGCAAAAATTTGACTCAAGTGATTTTTTTTTTTTGGTACCGGCGTTCGAACTCGGGACCTTGCGCTTGTGAGGCAGGCGGCGGAACCACTCAAGTAAGTCCTCGGCCCCTGACCAAATGATTTGCTAATTCGCATTAACGCTTGCTAGAATGAATAGTTCTCACCTATGCTAATATTCAATTATCATTTATTTAACTTATTTCACCGTAAGAAGCTATCAACAAGTTCTGCACAAAAACTGGGTCTGAGAATCAGGGCACCCGACATCCACCGGAAGGGAGCAGTGCGAGTCACCTAAATCCTATACGTATTTATCCATGTGCTAACTGTGCAGGGGAACTCAAAATTTTTCTGGCCGATGGTCCTAAAAGGAAGCCCTAAGACGGACGCCCAATGGGCTGGAATCTGCGGGTGTGCCCGGCACGTGTCACTGCGGGGCCTGGCTTTTCAGGAGAGGGGCGCGGTCTCTACACCGGCCGAGCACCCGCCCTCCTTCCCACGGGTTCTCTGGACGCACTGAGCCCACAGGCCGGACTACAGAACTTTTTACAGGCGCTTTCTTCTGTAAGAGATACAGAGGAGAGAAGCCGGCAGCCTAGGCCCAACGGACGCAGGTCTCGCCCATCCTTACTGTTCTGGGAGCGGATCGCTTCCCCAGTGGTGCGGTCCCCGAACACCGACAAAGGTCCCTCCATCTTCGCGGTGGAGTTCCCGTCCAATTTCACTCAGACCGCCGACAACCACTACCTCGACCCACAAGCCGTGCAGCAGCACGAGGCACCGCGGGGTGGAGAGGCCGGAGCAGCGCTTTAGGGGATGCTGGGTAACACAGCGCGTCTCACTTCCCCCTCCCAGGCTTGGCCGCGACGCACGGCGGGAAGTAGGTAAGGGGTTGAGATTCAGGAAAACTGCCGGAAATGAGGAACAGTAAAGGGGACGGCTCAGTGTTTTTGTCCAATTAGAGACCGTAGGAGAAGGGAGCGAACGCGGAGAACGGAAGTTAGGAGGTTGGACTATGCGGGTGGAAGGAAATAGTAACTGAATTTTGCGACAGACAAATTTGCGCGTGCGCATTTAGACTTTCTAGTATCTTCTAGAAAAGGTGGTCAAGGGCAGGAATTGGGATGCATAGCGATAATGTGTCATTTTTTAAAAATACTCGCTCTGGGGGGAATGAAGCAAGTCGACTCTGCTTTGTTCCGGACTCACAAGTGTAAATTTGGGATCTGAACTTGGATTAGACCGGGGAAGCTTTTTGCTGGGGAGTGCGGGTAAGTTTTTAGTTAATGGAAAACAACTGCATCTCGCCCTGCTCCATTTCCTCACGGGGACAGACTCGCCGGTGTCCAGTTGAAGCGTTCCCAAACAATGGTCAAAGGACGTTGCTGGCTTCTTGGACGATAGACTAGAGCCAATAGCGTTTCCCCATCCGTGACTTTCCCGGAGTGCCTCGCTAGAAGGGCACTGATTGGCTCTGTACCTGCGTGTGTGTGTTGACGTAAGCGCCGATTGGTGGAGCCACAATGACGGATAGCTCCTGTGGCCACTCAGTTCCCGAAGATGGTGGCTTTGCTCATCTGCAGGCGTTTGTAGCCTCTTCTAATCTAATGTGGCTGCTGCCGGTTAACTGCTTAGGCTACCGTCTGGAAAAGGAGGCAGACATTCTGAGCTTTCGCATATCCTTTCAGCGATGGCGTTTGTGTCACGGTTCTGGAACTTGCCGATTTGTGGGAGCCCAGGTAATTTATCTCATCCTATTTTTTAGCTTACTCCCTAGTGCCTGCACAGTAAGTGAATTTACCAGTCCTATTTTATTTGCTTGTACTTGAATTGAACCCGATACCTTCGCACTGAGTTACATCCTCAGCCCCGACCCTCTTAATTTTGAGACAGGGTCTCTTTAAGGAAGCTGGCTGGTTCGAACCAGTCTGGCTGGAACTCGCTATCTTTCTGCCTCAGCCGCTCAGTATGCCGGAATTACAGGTGTGCACCACCATTTGCGGCTCTTGGAAACGTTTTTGGCATTCGACAGAGAAAAAAGTAAATGTGCAAGCAACATTGTGATGTCTAGGAGAACGTTAGGTACCGAGATCTGTGGTGACAACTTCTTTTCAGATTGGGGATGGGAATAGAGCATGTTCCTGTTTTGCCTGTTTTAGTTTTTTTTTTTTTTTAAGGTCCGTGTGGTCGTTTCCATTTATTAGCGTGTCGGTTCGCACCTCTCTCAACCAGTGGCACGCCAGAATCAAAGCCCGAAACGGAGTCTGTGGAAAATGAAGCCGTTGCCCCAGAGTTCACCAACCGAAACCCTCGGAATCTGGAGCTCTTAGGTGTAGCCAGGAAAGAGCGGGGTTGGGGGACCGTGTGGCCTTCCCGCGAATTCTGGCACAGGTAATTAAGTCTCCTAATGATTGACAGAGCAGTGCACAGCACCTTATTGATTGTTTCTCCAGTTCATTTAATGACAGTGCCAGACTTGCCAAGGTGTCTCTCCTGGGAGGCTGACACCTGGTGTGTAGCCCTGGAGCTAGGGGGCGGAGTGGAACAAATTAATAGGTGTGCTGGAGAAAATTTAAAAGGTAATATCAGATTAGGAGACGTTAGTGTCTGCTAAGGCTCGTAGGAGGAGGTGACATTTAAAGAAGCTGAGATCAGAAAAATAGGAGGAAGCCATGTTATCTGCTAGAGCATCCTAACATTCAAACAGCTGTGATGGGAATGAACTTGGAGCATTTGAGGAGCTGATGGGTCAGTGTAGCTGGAGTTCAGTGGGCCAAAGAGTGAGTGATGTAAAATGAAAATAGAGCGGCAGGAAGGAGTTGAGTCAATTAGCTTTGCGAATTAAGGTAAGCAGTTGAGAGGATACTTTCACTGGGAACTATGAGGGTTTAAAGTTTGAGCCTGAGTGATCCGGATTTGAAGATCATTCTGAATGCTTTGAGGAAAACAAATTTTTCGGGGAAGCAGATAGAAAAGGGAGCACCAGTGTGAGTTTATTATTATTAACGAGATATTTTTTTATAAGGATAGATGTTTGTTTATTTAGCAGTGCTGGGGATGGAACTAAGGGCCTTGTGCATGATAGACAAGTGTTAATACCAATGAACTTTGTGCCCAACCCCAAGGTAGTTGTTTATTGAGAACTTTGTATTTGCTAAGAACTACACTTGATTGAAACTCTTTTTGCCACAAACTGTGCTAGTTGCTTTAATGTATTTTGTCATTTAATCCTTAAAACTATTATGAAGCAGGTAAAATTTTCACCATTTTTCAGAAGGGGAATTGAGGCTAAGGGAGATATGATTAATAAGATTCAAACATTTAATATGATCTTAGACAAGACGCTAAATTATCGCTATACTGTAGCGTAGAGAAGGTATTAGCTGTTTATATCATATTTCTTAAGGACTATATAAAATAGTAAAGGCAAATTAGAAATTATTCAGCAAACATTGGGCCTATACTTTCTTTTTTATTATTTTTATTGTTGTTTTTTTTTAATTAAAAAAATTTTTTTTGGTACTGGGGTTGAACTCAGGTCCTTGTGCTTGCAAAGCAGGCTGCAGAACTATTGAGCTAAATCCCTGGCCCTATACTTTCTTTTTTAGAAGCAGGGTCTTGGCTTACAGCTCACCTTGGCCTCAAATTTATGATCCTCCTGCCTCAGCTTCCCAAGTCTAGGATTACAGGTGTATGCTATTCTGCCTGGCAGGGCTGATACTCTTGCTAGTTATTGTGCTAGATGCAGAAAATACCAAGATAAAATTATGTCATACCTATCACCAAAGTCTTAATACTTTCATAATAGAAAGTGGAGTAGAAATAATAGCATGTTACAATTGCTGCAATACATTTTACTTAGACTTTACAGTGAGGAATCAAAGAGTAGACAGTTGACTTGAAATATTCTGGACCTTAAGTCTAAAAATCCTCTGAAACACCAAGCTTATTACTATAACTGAATATTTGGATCATTTAAATACCTATGGAAATGTCTTCCCCTGCCCTATTTGCTGTATTATAAGGGAATTTGGAAATATTAAGAGTGGGAAATGACTTTAGAGATTCTGAGTCCTACCTTTTAATAGAATATATAGTTTAAGATAAGGCCTCAAAACTATTGGGTCAATTTTGGCTTGTAAGCAAAAAATTATTTTTGCTTCTTTTTTTGATACAGGATCTTGCTAATTTCCAGGTGGTCTGAGCTGGCCTGGAACTTGTGAGCCTCTTAGCCTCTCAGAGTGCTGGGATTATGGACATGTGCCACCATGACCATTTACTTTTACATTTTTTAGAAAAGTTGAAAAACTCAAATAATAATATTTAGTGACACTTGAAAGTTAGATAAAATTCAAATTTTGGCATCCATAAAAGAAATTTCTCATTCAAATTTGTTTAACAGTACAGTGTCTGAGTTGATAAGTAAATACAGATTATGGCCCACAAAGCTTAAAACGTTTATTATTTGCCCCTTTACAGAAAAAGGTTGTCAACCCTTCATTTAAAATAATAGGATTTTTTTTTTTTTTTTTTTTTTAACCAGAGCTACCAGGAAAACCCACATTTGCAACCTAGTGCTTTTTTTAATTTGCATTATTAATCTTAATGAGGATCTTCTAATTTGAGTGTTGTCTTTGAGCTTAGTTTTAAAAAACGTAGAGATGGGGAGTGTAGCTCAGTGGTAGTGTGTATGTACAAAGCCCCAGATTCAGCCCCCAGCACCAAACAAATAAAAATGGAAAACAAAAATGGAAAAAAAAAAAACCCCAAAACACAAAAGTGATGCAGTTGTTGCTTGGTATTCAAGGTGAATTGGCTCCACGACTCCGCTAGATACCGCTTGAGTACCTTATATAAAATGGCATAGCATTGCATATGATCTATGCACATTCTCCTATGACTTAAAACTATCTTTAGATTACTTACAATGCCTAGTGCAAGCTGGGTGTGATGACACACGCATGTAATTCTAGTATTGGGGAGGTTGAGGCACAAGAGGATTGGCATGAGTTCGAGGCTAGCCTGCATGACGCAGTGAGACCCTGTCTCAAAGAAACAAAGCAAAAAACAAAAACCTAGTGTGATATAAATGCCTCATAAATAGTTATACTATACTTTTTTGGGGGTACTAGGGATCGAACTTAGGACCTTGCACTTGTGATGCAGGCTGTGGAACCACTGAGGAACCACCTACTTTTTTGGGAATAATAACAGAAAAAAAATCTCTACCTGTTCATTGCAAATACAGTTTTTTGCCCAACTATTTTCCATCTTTGATGGGTTGAATCCAAGGATTTGACATCCACAGGTGGCAGGTTAGCTGTGTTTACATATGTTATAAAACCCAAAATGGATATAGTTTCTTCTGTGTCTTTTTAGAAATACATATAAAAGCATAAATTTTTTTATTTTATTTTATTTTTTTGGTACCGGGGATTGAACTCGGGTCCTTGTGCTTGCAAGGCAGGCCACCGAACTGCTGAGCTAAATCCCCAACCTGCATAAATGTATTTTTTAAGTTATAAATCTTGACACACTGTAAACACCATCTGCAATTTCCTTCTCCAGCCCTTTCTCCTCCAACTGTTCACTTAAAAATCTGTCTTGGAGATCCTTTGTGATGGTTGGGAACGCTGGCTCTGGAGCCAGACTCTTGGACCATTCAGGTTTCATTACTGAGTAGTTGTAATCTTACCCAATTTTTCTTTTCTATTTCTGTAATTTAAAAAAGGGGGGGTGGGATTATTTAGAGACCTGAGCTATACCTTTAAACAGAACAAGCATGACACATTGTGAGTGCTCAGTAAAAAGCTATTGCTATGAAGTACTACTTCATTCCATTTAGTAACTATAGAGTATCATTTTGTGGATATTTCTGTTGTTGTTGTTTTTTTTTTTATTGAGACGGTGTCTCACTATGTAGTTGAGAATGACCTGGAACTCACTGTAGTCCAGGCTGGTCTCAAACTCATAGCGATCCTCCATCCTTACCCTCCCAAGTGCTAGGATTATAGGTGTGTGCCACCATGCCCGGTTTTTGTGGCTATTTCTAATTAACTGGTTTCCTATTATCTTTTAGGTTACAGTATTGCAGTGAATTGTCTGGACAATGGATTTTGTCAGTGAGAGTGGGAATATTTTCATGAGTGTACAAGTTGTGAATATTTTCCTTTTCTGTAAACACTGCCCAAATCCTATGCCAGGTGTGGTGGTGCATGCCTGTCATTCCAGCACTTGGGAGGCTGAGGCAGGAGGAGCACCTCAAGTTTAAGGCCAGGCGGTGCTACATAGTTCAAGGTCATCCTGGACTACATAGCAAGACCCTGTCTCAAAAAACCAAATCCTTTGCCTACTTTCTTAAGTTATCGGTCATTTCCTTATTGATGACAAGGCGTTTTATGTAGTATGGAAATTAGCCTTTTGAAAAATATGTAAATTTAAAATACTCTTATCATTGCTTGTCTTTTTGTGTGTGTGTGTGCGCTGCTGGGGATTGAACCTGTTGCCTTGTTCATACCAGGCAAGCCCTCCACTACTGAGCAATGCCCAGAGCTTCATTGCTTGTCTTTGACTTTACTGTTACTTATTTTTTTACCATGCAGAAAATTGTGTCCATCTTATATAAAAGCCATATGACCTGTTTGGTGTCATTTAAATAGGCCTGTTTTACTTTTGGATTATTAAAAATTCTCATGTTTCCTTGTATTCCCATAATTTCAGTTTTTACATTGAAATCTTTATCCGGCACATAGTAGTTTAGCTCTGCCTCTTGTATTTTTTTTGGTACCATGGATCTAACTTGGGACCTTGTGCTTGCGAGGCGGACAGCGTACTACTGAGTCTCAAGTCTTTTTTGAAATGTATATGTAAGTAAATAAAACTCACCTTTTCAGAAATACCAAATTTCTCTTTGATAACTTGAAGTTAAGTGAAATATTTGGTTCATTATTATTGAAGATAGTCTCATAATCCCAAGTAAAATCCACTAATCTTTGAAGTTTTGGAGAATATTTAGGCATTTGTTTGTCTGCTTTAATTTATCTTTGGGATGGGTAAGATGGTTTTATGATTTTATTCTCTTCTCATCCTGTTTAGGTTGCGAGTTATAAGGACCCAGCATCATGTAGAAGCACTTGTTGAGCATTGGAATGGCCAGATTGTGGTGTCAGCATCTACTCGTGAGTGGGCTATTAAAAAGCACCTTTATAGTACCAGAAACGTGGTGGCTTGTGAGACTATAGGACGAGTGCTGGCACAGCGATGCTTAGAAGCAGGAATCAACTTCATGGTCTACCAGCCAACCCCTTGGGAAGCAGCCTCAGACTCGGTATTTTTGTTTTCATGTACTTCAAGGTTAAAGGGCATTGGAGAACTATGGGTACAGTTTGGTAGAAGAGCACTTGCATAGCATATGTGAGACCCTGGGTTCTACCTGCAGTACTGCAAATATATTTAAAAAGTACATAAAAGGTACTTTGTAAATTCTTGATATTAGATACTTACATAATAATAATTTCCAAGTGATTTCCATTTGTTAGACCCTGGTGATTCTATGACAGCATTGCTTCATTTAATTCTCATAGCAATGCACAGAGTAGGGACTTGTATTCCCATTCATTGCACAAATAAACAGATCAGAATCAGTGTGTGGTGGATTTCAAATTCAGGCTGACTGCTTTTATAGCCTACAGTGTCAACTACTTATTCACATACTGACATGCTGGCCTTTTTTTTTTTTTTTGGTACCTGGGATGGAACTCTGGACTTTGCATTTGCAAGGCAGGAATAGCACTAAGTCCGCAGCCCCCGGCCAAATATTTTAAAACACTGCTGGTTATACCTCAGTTCCCTTTTTCTTATGTAGGTCATATTTTAGATCACTTTCTGAAAAAAAACTGTAGGTGGGATGTTAGCAAGAGCAGATCAGTTGTTTGTTTCATTGTCTATTAGGAAGTGAATTTAG